CCTGCAGCCCTCAGGTGAATCCCTTTAGGAGCAGTCAGTGCCCCATCCCTGCCTTCACAGAGGTTTTCAAATTCTCTAAGCATTACTTGCTTGAATCACACAGAACAAACAGTCTCCACCCTCTCCCACTGCTTTGTCTGCAGCTCCTATTCACAGGCAGCCACCCCTACTGATGGGCAGACGGGCTAACCTGCCCTGCCGACCCATCACCGGCAAGACGCACCAGAGACCGGAAGGACAGTCCCTGTCCCCTCCTGGGCAGCCGTCAGCAGAGTCAGTGCCAGGTGCACACGGGTGCCTTTCAATCCACGCTGCACTCCGGAGAAACTGAGTAAAGCTTAGCTGATGGCACTGCCCAAGAGACTGCTAACTGGGAAAAGCTCCTCCTCCTTCCTCATTCTTCTCCCTGGGCAGTAAAGAAAACACCAGCGGCCGTGTTTCCTCGCTGGAGTCTGCCTTCCATGTGGGAGTGGGGAAATTACAAGTAAGTGATGCATTTCAGAAAGCACATCGTCTGCCTCCCTCTGGGTTTCAGATGGTTTCACCTTTTACCTCTGATTTATGGGGAGCCCCCCACCCGGGGTGTGGAAATCACTCTCTGACTCTTGCTTTGTGAAGAAGGCCCGGGCTATTTCTACTTAAAAATCACTTTCTAAGTGTAAACAAGAGAGAAAAGAAACAGAAAACTTACCACTTTAAGAATTATATTTGAATATAAGAAATACGACTCAACAGTGCCTATGGAGTGGTAGAGATGTAACAAGTGACTTTTAGGCAGAGAAACTTCTCATTCCACAGTAGGCCTACTGTCCACCCATAGGTGACCATGGGTGGTTACTGACCAAGGCTCCCACCACATCTCAACCTTTTCTCTCCGTGAAAATGGAATGCAAATCACAATTCTTCTGTCAGTGCTTCAGAAGATATTCTCAACCTAACATAACCTTTTTTTGAAAAGGTATCCATGTACTGGGCTGAATAAACTGGGTCGGGGATGGGGAAAATACAGAGGAGGGGCCATCTGGGACCTAATCTAAGAGACTGGTATCTCAATGAGGTGGGAAAGAAAACTATTGTCCCTTTATCAAGAGAAACTGTCCTACATAGTTTCTACTGATACTATACTGCATTTCTACCTTTTCAATGCAGATCTGTTTAATAAAGCATAAAGGTAAGACATCACTTTATGGGGTAGGTAAATTTCCAAAACAACAACAACAACAAAAAAAAAACCAAAAAACCACCACCAACAAATCTGTTATTAATATGTGACAGGTTGGGAAGGTTTAACCTAAACACAAAGGTAACAGACAAGACAAGCTGCCATTTGATACTACAGAGCTGCGTCAGAGAACACCGAACTTCAATTAAAAACACTTACAAAAGCAAGCAAGATTTAAATAAAAGTATAAAAGCAAAACCAACTTTTGCATCCTCCCTTCCCCAGGTCAAAGAACATCGAAGATTCAGAAATTAATTAAACCTGGTAAATAATGTAAAAAGGGAAGGACTCCCTTTCAGAAATGCTTTAGTTAATTTTAGCATCCTTCTGTTTAGCTGCTTAGCAACCCTTATCCTATGACCTTCTAAGCACCACCTACTTTTCAGAAGGATAATGAATAGAAACATCAAAAGAATTCACTTCTGGCTGCTTCTGGAGAGCAGGTTTAAGCAATTTTTTTTTTTTTTTTTGTAGGAGTTAAGTTTATATTAATTACACCAGGCAAATGTAAAATTTTTCGACTTCATCAGCCAAGAAATTTCCTTAGCTGACAACAAGAAAAGATGTTAAGAAGTGAACATACAACAGCAAGTAGAGACTTCCAAACTGACCTAGGAAGTGGAACCACACTGCAGTTCCAAATTGAAGAGTGAAAAATGAAAGTCCCCGAGCAGCAGCTAACTAGTGCCTGGCTCGCAGCAGCTAACCAATCAACAGCTGCTGATCGGATGCAGGACTAATGAGGTCAGACTTTACTTGCCTCTTTCAACACTGTGTACCTGTGTGCATCAGGAGTCTGCCTGGAGAATCTAAAATAAAAGACCCTTCCATCTAAAGGTCATTTGTTGGATGATGTCAGTGGCTAGGAATGGATGCACCACCTGTACCAGCAGAGTCAGATGCGTGCTCATTACACAACAAACACTTGTCTGCCATGAGGGCACCCAGCCTGAATTTCTCATGAGAAAGGAAGTGGTATCCAGGAAAACCCAGAGAATGACATCCCATATAGTATCAGCCAGCATCTGCAGCATCTCAGAGTATCATGTGTCCAAGCAAATCCTCTTGAAAAACAAACACCCTAAAGGGCAACTCAAGTATAGCAGTAGTTTAGTTTTAAGAACGATAAAACTGCAAATTCGTTAGCCTAAAATGGAGAAAGGGGAACAATTAAATCAAAGAGCTCCTCTCTCTTTCTTTTGTAAAAACAGGGGAAGAGGTTATTTTTTCACACATTTAAAACTTGATTAAAGCCTTTCAAATGTTTAATTCATCAGTGTAACCAAAGCTTAAAAACACATCAAAGCAGACCCATTAGCCAGTATCCAGAAAGCTCCTCCAAAGGGCAGAGGTAAAAAAAAAAAACCAAATTTTTAAAAACTGTAAAACTAGTGATCCACCTTGCATATGTTATTTGAAAAGTATTTCAAACCCATGCCTTCAAAAGTTCTGTGGACACTTGAACGAACTATATATATATATATTCTTTTTAACGAGATTTTAGCCAAGCCCTCAGCCTCTTAACTCAGACTTCCGGGTTTAATTATGTCTTAGAAACCATACCTGCCTACTGGAAAAAGCACCAAAGCTAAAGGATGCTTTCCACAAGTGTGAGAAAGTCTTTGCCATTTCCATTACCCACCTTCTACTTCATTTCACTTATTTCACAGTACTCACACACATGCACAGATCATTATATTACCCAAGAAGGGGGCAAAATCTCAAAAAACGGGGAGACACCGCCGGCAATTCAGCCTCTGCACAACTCAACTCTCCTTCAAGTCAGCTAGCTATACCTCGCAATTTCCAGCATCCCTATCCAACAGGCAAACTTTCTTTCCATTGGCTTTTAAAGGACTCAGTTTAAATCTAAACTCTAAAGCAAGAACGAGGGTGAACTGAACTCCAGTGGAAAACCCCCGGACAGGTTTTTCAGCATGCCAAAAAGTTTTATTTTTTATTCACCCTTCTCTCTCTCCGCCATCATCACCGCCACTGGCACCACTTAGCATCCTCCAAAAGCAGAAAAGCCCCTCTAAAGTGCCCGAAAAGTGTGCTAGGACTGGCTCTGCAGCCGTGTAGAATTTCGTAATGGAATGTGAACTGCTCGTCCGGATCTGGGCTCACGTTCTATCTCCTAACCAGTAAGGAGCGAGGGAGAGCAAATCTGCTGAGCAAGGAGAACTACTTTCCTCCTCTTTTATAACCCATCACGGATGCACCGCGGACGAGGGACGCGAGCTGCACGCGGCGCCTGTCAAGTGCCCTGCCCGCGCCCCCCGAGACCCCCGCCCCGCCGAGCGCCCCACACTCACGCGCGGCTGGCGAGGGGTGCTTTGGGGTAGTGGGGAGCACGTCCCATCCTGACCACGACCCCGGCCCCCGTCCAGAAACCACTCCGCTTCCCAGGGAGGGGGCTGACGACGGGAAGGACCTCCCCCGCTCCTTAGCAACCGTTAAGGTCGCAGTTTCCTAAGAGACCGCGAGCTGGGAGGGGGCGCGCGGAGCTCAGCGCGGGTGGGGGGGGGCCGCCCGCGTCCCCTTGCCTCCCTACCCGCCTTGCCAGCCCCGGCCTCCCAGCGCCCCCTCCCCGCAGCCACCAGCTCGGCGCTGCGGGCTGGGATGGGAGGAGGAAGCTAAGCCCCAGAACTCTCAAAAAATTGGTCCAGCGGGCGGCGGACAAAAGTTTCCGAGCGAGCGCGCTGCACAGCTGGGCGGCGAGGGGCCCGGCGGCCGCCCCGCCTCGGATGCTCCCGGCCTCCTTCCTGTGCTCGTGACGGCGCCGGCAGCCGAGCACCCCCCCCCCGCAATGCAGGCTCCCCCACGCCGAGGGCCCCCACGAAAACACGCACCCGGCCGACGGGAGAGCAGCGAACAATACGCGCCACCACGGCCCCGGGCCCCTCCGTTCTCCCCGCGCCCCGAGGCGGTGGTCGACGCGACCCCCGCCCTGATCCGGCCTGGGCGCAGGACAGGCCCCCTCCGGCCCGGCGCCCTCCGCCCCGGAGGATCAAAGTCCGCGGAGCAGGGCGCGGCGGATGCTCCCACCGAGCGTGGCACCCCCGCACCCTGCACCCCCGGCGGGCACCCCCAGCCCCCGCGGGCACCCCCAGATACCTTTCGGTGCTGGCGACGGCGGGCGGACGAGCGCCGTCATCTCCGCGCTTCCCAGCCCGAGAGGGACTCGAAAGTATGTAGGAGAAAAGTTTCCCCTCCCACATGGGGGGGAGGATGTCGGGGGAGCGAGGGCGGAAGATGGAGAGCAGCGTTGGGAAGATGTTTCAGGCCGGCGGTGCGCGCACCATCCGAGGCCCCGCGGTGCTGGTTAAAAATAAACTCGGCGGCGCGGGTCGGGCCGGATTCCTGCGCTCGGACGGCTAATATGGATGCGCATCAGGTCCCGCTGGCGGGGCGCTGCGGCCGCTCGCGCCGGGAGCTGGTTGGCAGAGCCGCGGCTCGGGAAGGGGAAAGGAGCGGAGGAAGGGGAGGAGGAGGAGGAGGAGGAGGAGGAGCAGGAGCGGCGGCGGCGCGCGGCCGGAGGGAGAAGCTGCCCCGCTCCTCCTGGCGCCCCGGCCCCACCGCCCCGAGCGCACGCCGCGCGACCTGGGGCTGCGGGGTCCTGCGCCCCTGAGGCGCGGAGTTTCCCAAGTACGACGCGCTCTGCAGCCCTCGCCCTCCCCATCCCCAAAAAAGTTCTTTAGAAGGTCGCTCGGGCTGAGCCCCGGACATCCCGCTGCCACCCGAGCGAGGACCGCGGGCCCGAGCCCAGGTCGCGTACTTACGGCCCGGCGGGGCGCTTGGCTCCCAGGCATGATGCGGTGAGGACCGGAGGGCTGCGGGGAGAGGACGAGGAGAGATGCAAACTTGTTCCGGAAAAGGAATCAAAATGGCGTTTCTGGATGTGCAAAGTTCATCAACTCCGCAGTCACTTCCCCTCCTCCTCTTCTCCCACTGGGAGGGAGGTGGGCGAGCGCTGGCGACCCCAGCGCCCCAGCCGCCGTCCCGGCCCCCGGCCCGGCCCCCCGCCCCGCTTCCTCGCCCGCACGCCCGGAGCTCGCTCCCCCTCACCCTGATAAGTAGACACATCACGTGTTGCTCCTGCGAGTCTCCTGGGGACGTGTTACTGAGCGGCCGCGGCGCGGCTCGGGGGGGCGGGGGGAGCGGTACCCGCTCGTCCCTGCCGCTGCCCCCGCCCCGATCTCAGCGGGGTGACCGCGGCTGCCATCCCGGGATGGATGGAGGTGGCGTCCCCACCCCAACCCCCACCGCAGCCCCAAGTTTGCTTTGCTACCTCCGGAGGCGCCCGGGGCGCCGAGAGCCGGGCCGCCCCCCGTAAGGGGCTCGGCCGCCGCCGCTGGGCGCTGTCCCCATCGGTCTGGCGACCACTGTCCCCCGCCCCCGCACCCCTCCCCCGCAGCCCCCAGCTGCCCCCGGCTTTCCATCACTTTACTGCCCGGTTTGTTTCACTATTTTAAGGGAGGAGACGGGGAGATGGCGATGCCCGAGAGGGGCTCCTGGGAGGGAGGAGGGGGTTGCAAAGCGGGGTTGTCCGGGGTCCTCGGCCCGGCGCAGTGCCTCTCGGATTGGGAGGGGCGCCCCTCCCGCGCCGGGCCCACCCCACGCGGTCCTCGCCCCGCATCCAGGTGGAGCGAGTTAGGATGGGGCTGGCGATCGGCTGCAGCGCTGCACCCTGCCCCCAGCCCCACGCCGACTGCCTCCCAGGTCCTCGCTCCTCACCCCAGGCTTCGCAACGCGGCGGCTCTCCCTCTACCGAGCGCGCAGCGCGCCTCGACGTTTGTCACCTTCCCTTCCCCACGCCCCTCCACTGATGCTCCAGCGGGGACTGCCTGGCCGCGAGGGCCCGGGATGGCGGAGACGCCTACCGCCACCGTGTCCCCACCCCGCGAGGGAACGGCTGATGCTGTGTCATCCACGTCGCCCTCCAAGGCGTCAGGGAAGCCACATGCAATATCTCTTTCTCTCAGAGGGCTCCAGTTTCAGCTCTGGGAAGCGGGAGCCCTCCTCCGACCCGCTCTCCATCCCCGCGGCTCCTGCCGCCTGCACGCGCCTCACCCTGGCTGCCTCGGCCGGCCGCAGTTACCCCGAGCTCACTCGGAGAAAACAGGCCTGGGCTGCGCTTCCACCCTACGGCTGGCTGACCAGGCTCCAGCTGGTAATCTTTCCCTCCCGAGCTCCTGAAACGGGCTGTGCACGGGGTCTTTAAAGCATCTTCAGAAAGATAAAGATGATGGTGCTTGCTGCAAATAAACATCACAAACTCCCCAAATTCTAAAGTGGAAAGGGCAGAGCACAGGCCCAGAGAATTAGGCAAGATGAGGTTGTACGGGCAGAAAGCTGGCTACTCTCGAGGTAGTATGACCTTTGACCCTGGCCCCACCCCTCCGGCTCCTCTGAGGACCCTTGAACACCATACAAACTGGTAAGGCCCGATGTGCGTTTTAATTTGAGGCCTTTCTTCATCTGCACTTTAGTTTTCACGGCTTCCGACAAGTGCCTGTCTAGGGATGGGTCCTGGCCAAGACAGAACTCTCTGGAACGAAAGCAAAGCAGTTGGACAATTACCTCTAGATAAGTAGGCTAAACTACAGCCCAACTGATTCAGCTGCTGTTTCTCTGACTTCCAGTCATCAAAATGAAGTTTTCTGAACCTGTTCTGTTTCCCAGGGTCTCCTGTTTACTGAGGTAAATTCTACCCAGAGACACTGGAACACTTGCATTTTTTTCCTAGGCCTTTCCCCACCCCCAAACCTGTCGCCAAGTACATTATCAAACGTTTTTTATGAAGATTGCCCTGTCCTGAAGGAGACGGGCAGGTCTCTAAACAGAAGCTATATAGTTCAAGTCATCCCAGAACTGGTCTCTTGGGCTTCCTCGAGATGTACTCCATTGAGAGGGCAAAGGAAGTCCTGAAGAGGAAGGGGGATGTTCTCACTTGCCTGCCTGTGATTCAGAAGTTTGTCTTTCCTGGTCTCCCAAAGCAGTGGTAGGTTTTGAGTAGGAACAATATCAAAGTTGGAATTTTACTTGCAATTTAGCTTATTGTGTAAAATACACTGCAACCTCCAGAGCTACACAAATTTTCACAATAAATCAGTATTTCTTTTTTTTTTT